TAATTAAATTTTTTTAAAATTTAAATATATTTAAATATAAAAATATTATTTTTATTTAATAATTATTAGCATATAATCTAAATTATATAATATTCTATTATTTAATTTGGACAAAATGGAAAAAGATGAGAAAGAGTAAGAGGGGTTTTTTTTTTTTTTTTTAACAGTGGAGGTGGTAAATACAGCGTCAGGCATGGCATGTCAGGGAGTACAGAAGCTGAATTTGCAATCTAATATTCTGTTGTCGGCCACATAGGAAGGTGCCACCTTATCAGGTGAGAGAGCCGACAAGAGGTTCATGGTCAAAGAAAAACCTCAAAAGAGAGGCAGACTTTTACCAAGCCCACGTGCGCTCCCTCATCTTCAAATCCCTACATCAGATCACACTTGTCTCATTCCTTATTTTCGAGTCAGTACACGAGGCAGGAGAGGAGAAGGGGACCCAAAATCTCCTTATCTCATCTTATAGCATTGTCTCCATATGATGCATCCCCATCGTCTACATTTTATTACCAGCTTAAGATCACATGTTCTTTTTCCACACAAATTTGAGTCAATAATTCTGCAAAACTTTGTTCGGACAATTTCCGCTGCTTTAACGCAAAAACAGCTGTAATGTTTGGTTTGAAGATGAAATATCATCATAACTTCTATTTGGGTTTTTCTAAGGACACATATAAAGGTATACTTTTTTTAACAAAAAAAAAAAAAAAAAAAAAGGAAAAAATAAAAATAAATTTAAGAATTGGGGCAAAAAGATGAATTTAATTAAATATTGATAAATTAAATATTAATTTTTTATTTTTTATATAAATTTATGATAAAAATATATATTTATTATAGTTTTAACTTGTGCATTTAGAATATATCTTAAAAAACCCCTTTTATACATGGTTTTGATAAACAGCAAAAACTGTAATAAGAATTTCATCCCACTAAATGAATTCAAGAACAATAGTATTTTCTATGATATTCTCTGCTTTTTCTCCTGAATACATGATGTTTTTGATATTATATGATACAGGAGCAGGGATTAGGTTCAGATATTTTGGATGGTTTAAAGAAAGAAGTAAATCAAATGCATGCCTAGCCAGAATTAGCGGCATGCATGCATTTATTTTTATGAGAGCATTCATCCAAGCCAAGGTGTTAAGGTCTTTGTCTGTGACTGTCTTGCAGTATGAACCATGGCATCCAAGGAAATATTCGTCAGTTTTAAATAGGAGATGGCCCATTTGTAAGTGTAATGCTTCTGTCCTGGAAACTCTAGGGCAGATTTGGGCCATTCATTGAAATAGTACTACCTGCCCTACATTCGTTAAAGCAAGGACACTGCCCTATTACACCTTGCCCTGCTGGCCGCCATTATGGACCAAGAGAGTAGGAGGGGTCTTCTTCAGTCTGCCCCAGTTTACCTGAAGCAGACTTCTGTGTCCTGGGACCTCCACTAATTAATGGATGCTTGTCCTGGTGCCTCTCAAGCCATGCCAACTTGTATTATCTGTAAGACTCCACAAATTCATGAATAAGCCTAGTTCTCTCAGGTTTCTGCCCTTAATTGGTTCATTCAATCCATCCATTAAACGTCTCTATGATGTTGACAGAGGTGTTTCTTCCTACAATTTGATGGTCCACAGGACAAACCATTCTTTCCTAGAAACACAACATGGTTAAGATTGAAAATTTTCAGTCCAGACTAGATTGTACCCAAGATGCGTTGCTTGGTCGCCTACACATTGCCATAAAACAGTACGGCCTTGTATCATTAACATTTCACAGTATTTGTCAAGCAAAACCAGACCAATCTGTCAGAGATTTTGATACTGCAAAATCACCCATTGCAGTGACAAAATTGTTCACATGAGCACAAGAAACAAAGGACAGACAATCCGTAGAAGAGAAGCACAATGCGACTTGATGTATCAAACAGAAGGACTACAGGTATAAGGTGGAGCTAGCTCCTCCCTGGCAAAAAGTGTACAGCATCTTCATCCTTGTTAAATACAGTATAAGCTGTCTAACAAAAATTTACAGTTCATGTTTCAGCCCAAGGATGATAATTCAACTGAAGTTTTGACAAAATATTTACTTCTCCTCCTTGATACAAGATGAAGATTTTCAATCAATATCAATTACCTTCCCACTGCCCCAAGCAGTAAAGCTGTCCTGAGATCCAAATTCCTATAAAATCATTTTGGAAAGCATTAGAAGGTCGAACAAAAATTGACAATTTTAATCTGAAGCTAAAGAAAATGGCAAAATGTAAAACATACAAGCTGACTGAGACGGAACTCTGGTGGTGTATCAATTTCTATGTTTGCTGGATCAAGTTCAAAATTTTGACACTCCTCAAGATCTTTCTTTAGATGCTCTGCTCCTAGTTGAGCATAGTCAGAAAGACAGGGTTTGCTATTCAGTGATCCATCATCTCCATTTACATCCCTATTTGGAGACTGGCTCTGAAGGAGTTCATCACAAATAGATAGCCCTTCCACAAGTTGTTGTGAATCCAACAGACACTGAGACTCTCCCTCCCACCATTTTGGATCGTCCTCTGCATGATCATTGTTATTATCATCAGGCATCTGATCAGCATGACTTTCTGGATTGGGTTGGTCGTTGCAGCAAGGATTTTCAGATTCAGGTTGAACCTCACATACTGCATACTGCATTATAGAATTCATAAGTGAAAAGACTTCAGGGATAAAGCAAATATTAGGATCTCTTTCTGGAGGAGCACTTTTATAGCATAAAAGGAACATATAGTCTCCAATGTTATTATTCTTTGGAACTCCAAACGGTTATGTGACAGATCATGACATGAAAATTACCAGAAAAACTTTTTGAGACACAAATAAATACAAAATCCAAAGCCCAGGACATGTACATTTGTTCCTGTGCTAAGACACAAATCCTAAATACCAAACTTGAATCAACTCTTCAAAAAAGGCAAATCAACTCTTCAGAAAAAAAAAATGCAGATGTTTTACCTGAGCAAAAGGATCGATATAATTAGAAGTATCATCCTGTTCCAATTCAAGGGCAGGAAATCGCCTTTCAGTACATGGAGGCTCAGGGGTCACAGACATGGGAGTGACTGGATCTACTTTTATGACTGGGTCAGTGATCTCAGGTAAATCTTGCTCTATTTTATCACCCTGCCTATTTTGTTGCTGCTGGTAAAATATTTTTGAGATGACATATTCCCCTTCCTTTTCATCCTCTTCAGTTCCTAGGTGGTATTGGTGCATCACCCAATTTGTCTTCTCAGCTTTTATACCTCTGACCATGGTTACATAGAGAACCATAATCTTCTTGCAGCCTTTCTGAACACCATCTAATGCCACTGGTTTAGTTCTGCCAGTCTTGTGCCAGCGGACATCACCAAAATCATCCCCATGAATCTTTCTGCGCTTTCGAGTTCCAGTATTGTATGCCTTGATTGCTCTGTGGAAGAAGTGGGATACACTTCCATCTTGCTTAACACCTTTAATATTTTCATTTTCAAAACTCATATTACTAAAGACGTTTGATCAGATCAAACGAGTAGAAAAACAGACCTTAAATGTATCACCAACCTGGTAAATTCTGAGGATGTGTATAACAGATTCCATCATCCTTATCAACAGTAGGGATGAACTCGTCAATAAATGGATGGGGTTTCAAATTTTCATCACTAACTTTTGTCATCAGATGCCATATAATCTCTTGATCAGATGGATCAAATTTCACTCCTCTAGGCAATCCTGGCCACTCTTGAGATACCTGTAAACAAACACCAAACAAAAATCATGCTCTCGATATATTTACTAGTGTCTTTGTTTTTGTACTTATTAGGTATGCTAACGAACTTTCACTCCTCTAGGCAATCCTGGCAATTTACTGTTCCTGTAATTATCAACGAACATACTGCTATTTGCTCCACAAATTTATATAAATCTCAAAAGGCAGAAATCTTTTCAATCAAGCAAACATCATGGATTTTTTTTGGCTGCCAAACATCGAGGGACAGAAATGGCATGTTCACAAGTAAATAAAAACCATTTCTCCAGCCCCATGAAACTTAACAGAATCTAAGTGTTGAAAAGGAAGGAAAGAGCACACAAAAATGGTGGAAATCTGGGGAATAATCCAAGTAGGAGTAACAAAATTAGATCTTAACCAAATAATAATTAAACATCCTTCTTTTTATTGGTTATGTTACGGATATGAATAAAATGAGTACAGATTAACCTACAACTAAGTTATTGTAATTAAAGAGTAAACTGTCTGAAAAGACAAAGAGTTATACTTCAGTATTGTCGATGATGTGTTGGCAATTAGGACAAGCTCTTGTTGGGTTGCTTCTCCATACAACTCTTTGAGGATTGCATGCGCTAGATGCACTTTTTATTTTTGATGCAATTCTCTGACCATCCACCAACCAAACCGTTTGTCTGCGTAAAGGGGCAAATAACACAGTCAAAATCCTCACTGAATCACTAGTTCAGTAGAAAAGAAAATATTGTGCACACAACGGGATGTCTGAAGACATGTTAGCATGAAATCTGAAACTCCTCGATCTGAGTCGCAACTGCAGTTAAGATTTATACTAGCTTGTGCTAATTTATGTCATAAAAAGAGATCAAGCATGTAATATTATCAATCCTGTTGGAAAACCAAATCTGTCAAACAATGAATACATGAAATCAGAAATTGTATTTCAGAATATACCCCGTTTCTACTGAAAGGCATGCCATAAAAACTATGATTCAAGGCCTAAACTTTACAATTAAAACAACTAGTAGGAAAACCCCTGTGGCGGCGCATACGCAGAGTACCATAGAAAAAGCAGTCATTTCATTAGAAACGACAAGAATCTTCTCTAAATTTCAACATCTAGCTACCAAATTCTTGCTATGCCAGTGATGTATTAATCAGTGATCAAAATCAAGAACCCAGAAAGCCCATGATCAACCATATCTAGCAAGGCACATCATTTAACAGAATAAATACTACCGATCCTCAATGCGATTCTTCTATAGGCATTGGCGTGGGTAGAGAGAGAGAGAAAGAGATATTTACCCAGCCATGAGAGAGCAGTGGCGAATCAATGATCACGACCTTACTTGAACAGGGTCTGTTCTACAGGCTCGTACCTCTGTTTCCTTGAGTTCTAAGTAGCGATCAATGATCAATCAGAAGAACAGAGAATCGAAAGCTTCGATCTTTTTCCTCTCTGATTCGTTCCTCTGCATCCCAGATTTGTCATCCACCACCAATGGAGATAAAAGTGGGGTATTTACTATTTACCATACCAAAAATTCAAACTTTATTTCAAAACCAGAGTTTTAGCCTTTCTAGGCGGTGGGGTATAAGGATTTCTTTCTACTGTTGCTGTGTACGGATAGAGGCAAAAAGACTCCTACTTATTTTCCTGGAAAAGTGGATATCAGGACGAACTCATTCATGTTTGGGTTCAGGCGCTAGTTTCTGATTTAGTCATGGCGGTCCAGGTTTCCATATCACAGAGAAGACCGCCGTCGACTTTATGAATCATCGACGGCCATTATTCGCCGGCCCCCATTTTCGCTCTTGCTCCTGCTAGTGTAGAATTAGCATTAAGCACCTCTGAATTTCTCAGTACAGGCCCAAAATAATTGACCATGAACCTGGACCTGTCCAAAGGGCCAAGACAGGCGACCTACCAAGTCCAAGAAGCCAAGAAATAATCAAATAATACGAAGTTACGAACACGATCCCAATTGTGGCTCAAAAGGATCCGTGTAGAGGCCCATTGATGAACCAGGTTAAAGCCCGGCCCACCAATGGATGATTACACAGAATTGACTCAATTGAGTAGCTTTTGCTTAATGCTTACCTAATTTTGTTTTTCCGGTGCATTGCTTAATTGCTATTTTTTGTTTAGGTATATCAAATGATGGTTATATAATAAGGATAATGGATAACTCTCTCATTCCTTTTTTTTTTACTTCACTTACCTTAAAGTTTGAATTCAAAATTTATAACTTAAGATCATAAGTTTTTAATCACGTGAAACACTTCTTTAGAATTAATTGCTATTATATTTGAGGACACTGCTCATGTCAACTTATTTGATTAAGGTGGAGCAAGAGATATGGCAATAGTTAGATATCGTAATCACATGATGTGTCAAGAGAACATAAGTTTCATTACGTAACTTATAAATACTTTATTATTCTCAATTTATGAGTATTTTAAAAAGATCAAATAGAAATAAATAGTGTAACACCCCCTCAGACCTTACCTCGATCGTACAAATTAAGAATATTTCTCATGCATACTACAAAATAGTGTATCTTTTGGTTTTTCCCATAGTTTTGAGCCAAACCTTTCATTTTCCTAGGCATGAGCAGATAACGTGATCCAATTGCTTTTGCAATCTTATTTTACTAATATAATGAACATGATTGTCATTTGGCTGACGCCTAAGTTATAGGAAGCTTCCATAATGCTTTCCATTTTGGTGTAAACTAGAGATTCTTACGAATAAATTAAACATCCTTCCCATGCTTTTAGGTTAAGTATACCTTAACGCCCAACACGTGGGATTTAGGTGGCTGCACCACAAACGCTGTTAGCTACGAATCAGAATTTTGTTGAATTTTCAAAGCTCAATAGGGTATTAGTTTGTTTTTTCATTAGGTTGAAATGTAGAATTATGCAGATGAGTTCTGTCCTCTTTTGCTTATTTATTTATTTATTTTCATTGATTAATTCTGTCCTTTACCTATTTGTACGCGTCAATTTTGGATAAAAAATTTGTACGGTATGATCATAATTATTTTGAAGGTCCCTGTCTCATAATTAGTTACCGCAATCAGCTTCCATAAAATGGAGATGCCCCACGCGTTCATTTTCATTGTGATTCATTCGATGAAATTGCCTAAATGTTAGCCGCCTCTATGTTGACATGTGAATGTGATAAAAAGTTTTACTATTTTTTATATTTATTATTAGAATATTTTTAAATTATTTTTTATGCACTTTAAAAAAATTATTTTTAACTAAAGTAAATTTTTTGTATTTATTTCTAATGTATAGCTAACCAGCATCTGCAAAGATAAAATGCTTTGTTTTATAGATAAATCTTATAACATAAGAGTTAACAATTTAATTAGATATTTGGTAATTTTTTTTATAAAAGTAAGAGAATTTAAATTTAAATTATATAATATAGAGATAAAATAAGTTAAAAAAATGTGAGAAAATTATTTGTGCAACTTAAGATTTAAAAAAATAAAATCAAAAATAAAAAAACTGGTCCTACAACACCATGATCCCCTAACCTTTCCAAGAGCGTTTTGAGACCATAAGGAAATCGGTCACGTAATGATCAATTCTTACTTTTATATTACGAGTGCTACTGTACTTTTTAAAGTTTTTATTAAGCTATAAAAGAAATTATTTTTAAAAAAATTTTAACCATTTAATTTAATGTTTGAATATGAAATTTTTTATTTAAAGTTTTAAATTTTTAATTAATTTATTTATTTTTTAAAAATATTTTTTAAAATACTATAAATAAATATATAAACTATCTCTAATTTTTTAATAAATAAAAAACAAATTAAAAGAACATCAATTATTTTAAGTCAAGTATAATTTTGTTCCGTTGGAAGTGGAAGTGTGAACCCATCCTACATGATCGCGGAAAGACTAAGCACAGCTTTCACGATGACTTGGCAAAGGTTAGTCAAGAACTGGAAAAGTGGAAAGTGAAGTGGAAAGTGAAAAACCAAGCGTGCAGGATATATTCATATATCCCGTTCCCATTCCTAGCTGTCAGTCAGAACTGACCATTTTCCAAAAATATCCCTTGAAATCAATGAGGGAATGTAATGTACTGTATGTCGTTCTAGCCGCCCTTATAAATTTTATATGGATAATATAGATATTTATATCTTTTATCTTAATTGATTAGTTAAACTCTCAATTTAATTTTTTAATTATTATATGAATTTTTAATTTGATTCCTAAATTAATTTTTTTTTAATTTGATACTTATTGTTTATCAATTTAATCTTAAGTTGGTTTTTTTGTACAAAAATAAATGACGTGTGTTATTATTAATATAACATGTGATTGTTAAATAATAATTTATTATTATTAAATAATAGATAAATCAGTTATTTTTTAACAAAAGGACCAACTTGAAATTAAATTGGTAAATAGTAGCACCAAAGTAAGGATGTTTTTAGTTTAAGAACTAAATCAAGAGACTATACAATAGTTGAAAGATTAAATTGGGAATTTAACTTAACTGATTTTACCATTATATATTTATAAAACGCATAGTAACTTTTATGAAAAAAATGGTTGTGTAGTTTAAAATATAACATAAAACACTCTAAACTTTTTTTTTTATTATGATTATATATAATTTTTTTAAATTTAGTTGTCAAGTATAATTCATAATTATGATTATTAATTAATTAAACAAATCCAATAATATTTATTATATTATGAATTTTTTATGTTGGTGGATGCTTCACCTTTACATTAAGCTTCTTTCATATGATCACTTCTTACCATTAAGGGGTCATTTATGATTCCACTAAAAACTATTTAAAAGTTCATAAGTTATCATTTATGGCTCTACTACGATGCCATTTATTCTCTAATTTAGTCATATTCAATAGTTAATGTAATCCCCACATGTCTCTTAACCTATATATAAACCTACAAGTTCATATGATTTGTATATGAAAGAGTATATGATGAAATAGTATATGATGAAATAAGAAATTCTCACTTTTGTTCATTATTTTGCTACTTTTTCTTTTATTTTATAATACATTATCAGTACAATCATCTCCAACATTCAATTTGTGGTAAGATCTTAATGTAATCCTTTGTTTTCTAGTTTCAATTTGATTTCAATATTTAATGAATTTTTGGAGCTACATTATCAAACTTGACAAAACTTGAATTTGTTGCTCTTGATATAACAAGTTCAAATTATTTGCTATGGATACTTGATGCTGAAATTCATTTAGCTGTAAATTGTCTTGGTGAAACAATTGTTGAAGGAAATCAAGCATTTTTACAAGATCATGCTAAAGTGTTGATAAATCTTCACCATTATCTCCATGAGGGATTGAAGGCTAAATATTTGACAATCAAAGATTCATTTTAATTGTGGTAGAATTTGAAAGAAAGATATGATCACAAAAAATCAGTGATACTACCAAAAGCTCGTTATAAATGGATGTATTTGCAATTGCAAGATTTTAAATCTATTAGGAAGTACAATTTTGTAGTATTCTATATTTCATCTCAATTAAAATTATGCAAAGAAAAAATTAATGATGAAGACATATTAGAGAAAACATTCTTCACTTTTCATGCCATGAATTTACTCATTTAGCAACAATATCGAGAGTGTGGCTTTAAAAAATATTTAAATTTGAAATCATGTCTTCTTGTTGCTGAACAAAATGATGAACTTTTAATTAAAAAATCATCAGTTGCGACATATTTGTTTAGGCCCATTACTAAGGTAAATGCAACTTTATATAATAATAATGGGCATCGTCATGGTTGTTATCGTAGTCATAATCGTGACAATAACCATGGCTGAAGGCATGCCATGGTCAAAATAATACCTAGCATCGTAATGGTTTTAACCCCAATTATGAATTTGTTGAACAAAATAATGTAAGGGGTGAAATTTACCAAAAAAAAAAAAAAAAAACCTCGCAAAAGATCCTAAAAGTTTTTGTTACTGATGTGGATCGAAAGGACATTGGGAGTATGCCTATCACACTGTTACGTATTTGGTTGATCTTTACCAAGCTTTACTTAATGAAAAGGGAATAGGAAAAGCAAAAGATCTAGAAATGAAATCCCTTAAGTATAACAATATGGATCTTGATACATATCTTGATGTTGCAAATTTTTTTAGGGTGTTGAGAATTTTATGGTATCGGTGATACCCAACTAAGAGTTTGACTTATTGTATACTCTTAACTAATGTCCTTTTTATATTCAATAAAAAAATAAATCATTTCAAAATATATATTAAATATTTGTTTCTTCCATTTCATTTGTCTTTATTTAAGACCAAATGGATTTGGATGATACTAAAATCAATAATGAAGACCTATGTCTTGTTGACAGTGGTACAACACATGTCATCTTCAAAAATAAAAATTATTTTTCTTAATTAAAGTTAGTTAAGGCTAATGTTTATACAATAGTTGGTATGGAAAAGTTGATTGAAGGCTATAGAAAAACTAGCATTTTATTACTTTAATGAACGAAATTATTAATACATGACACTCTATATTTTGGTAGATCAAAGGGAAATCTACTAAGTTTTAAAGATATATGTTGTAATGATTTTTATATTGAAACCACGGATGAAAATGGAATAAAATTCTTCCATGTCACAACTTTTGCATTCGGAAAAAAAGATAATATTAGAGAAAATGTTAAGCTTATCTTTTAAAGTATATTATACATATACATCCAATGGAATCCAATGCTGTGACTAATAAGAAATTAATCAATCCAGATGCCTTTATCCTTTGGCATAATCAACTTAATCATTTGGGTGCTATTATGATGTAGAGAAGTATAGAAAGTTCATATGGATACCCATTAAACAACTTGAAAGTTCTATTATCAAGTATTTTTAGTGTGTTGCTTGCTCACTTGGTAAATTAATTATCAAGCCTTCTACAACTAAAATAGAAATAAATCTTTTTCATTTTTGGAACATTTTTAAGGAGATATTTGTAGGCTTATAAATCCACCATCTAGGCCGTTTTTGGTATTTTATGATGTTGATAGATACTTCAATAATACGGTCACATGTTTGCCTATTATCTACAAGTAATGTTGTGTTTGCAAAGCTTCTTGCACAAATAATAAAATTGAGGGCACAATTTCTTGATTATACAATAAAAAGGATTTGACTTGATAATGCAAGAGAATTTATATCCTAATCATTTGATGATTATTGTATATCAATTGGGATTATTGTTAAGCATCCACTTTCTCATATATATATACAAAATGGTCTAGTTGACTTTCTTATTAAACGTTTGTAATTTATTGCAAGATTGCTACTTATGAGATCAAAGTTACCCTCTTTTGCTTGGGGTCATGCTATATTGTATGGTGCAACATTAATTCAATTAAGGCTAATTGCTTATTATAAGCATTTACCATTACAGCTTGTTTTTGGGATTGAACCAAATATATCTCATTTAAAATTTTTTGTTATGCTGTATATGTTCTTATTGCTTCTACACAGTGCATTAAAATGTCTCCAAAGAAGATTGAGAATTTATATTGGTTTGGAATCACTATCAATAATTAAATATATTTAACTAATTACTGATGATCTTTTCATAGAAAGCTTTATTGATTGTCATTTTAATGAAAACTTGTTCCCAACATTAGAAGGAGAAGAACAAAGGTTGAAAAAATAAGTATTAACTTGGGATACATTACCTATATCTTATTTAGACCCTCAAACATGTCAAAGTGAACTAAAGTGAACTAAAATTCATAAAATTATTCATTTGCAAAAAATTGCAAGTCAATTACCTGAGACATTCATCGATGCACAAAAAATACCGAATTCATGCATCCCAGCTTTGAATGCTTTTACTCAAATTAATATTCCTGTTGAAAAAAGTGCTAAGACAGTAGTAAATTAATCTATTATCCACTAAAAGTGTGGTAGACTTGTCAGTTCCAAGGATAAAAAACCAAGATTGAAGAGAAAGCAAAAGCAAAAGCAAAATTTTGGCTCTATTGAAATTATAAAAATTTAAGAGTTCTTAAAACAACAGCTAAAAAATGCATATAAAGAAATAATCCCAAAAAATGTTCAAGTACTTGAAAAGAATGAAGATGCAGAAATTATAGATAATGATAAGATTTTAATAAATTATATTTTTGTTAGGATAAAGTGGAATCTGAATTATATTGTCATTGACAATGTATTTGCTTTTGCAATAGTCAATGATAGACTCAATGAAAGTAGAGATCTTGAACCAAAATTCATTGGAGAATGCCTACAAAGAAGTGATTGGCCAAAATGAAAAGATGCAATTAAGGTAAAATTGAAATCATTAGAGAAACACCAAGTTTTTGAACCAATTATCCAAACACTCAATAATGTTAAAATTTGTTGGTTATAAATGGGTGTTCATAGTAAAACGAAATGAGAAAAATGAGGTTGTAAGATACAAAACCAAACTTGTAGCTTAAGGCTTTACATAAATACCTGGCATTGATTATGAGAAAACATATTCTTCTGTGATAGATGCAATTACATTCAGGTTTCTAATAAATTTAGCAGTTTTTGAAGGCCTTCAAATGTGCCTTATGAATGTTATAACTGCTTATTTATATGCATCACTTGATAATGATATCTATATAAAAGTCTCTATTGGATTTAAAATGCCTTAAACATATAACTCAATGCTAAAAGAGATATTTTCAATAAAATTAAGATAGTTTTTGTATGGGTTGAAACAATCACTGTAAATGTGGTACAATTGCATAAGTAAATATCTCCTAAAAGAAGAATATGAAAATAATCTTATTAGCACATGTGTCTTTATCAAGAGGTCAAAACTTGGCTTTGCTATCATTGCTACATATGTTAATGATATAAATATCATTGAGATACTTGGAGAGCTTGAAAAGGCAATTGAAAGTTTAAGGAAAGAATTCAAGATGAAAGATCTTCGAGTGACAAAATGCTATGTAAGTCTATAGATCGAGCATTTATCAAATGGAATGTTATCCATCCACTAAATTATGTTGAAAAGATATTAAAGAGATTTAATGTGGACAAATCTCATCCTTTAAGCTCTTTAATGGTTGTTGAAGGTTGTTGAATCCCTTGATATAAAGAAAGATTTTTTTTTTTTTTTTACCTCATGAAGATAACGAAGAAATCGTTGGTCCTGTACCATATTTAAGTGTCATAGATGCATTAATATATTTAGCTAACAATATATGACTTGATATCATATATTATGTGAATTTTTTAGCAATATATAGTTTTGAACCAACATAAAGACATTGGAATGGCATTAAACATTTATTTTGTTATCTTCAAGGAACAAAAGACATAGGGTTATTTTACTCAAAACATTCAAAACTAGATTTAATTAGATATGCAGATGTTACATATATATATAATCCATATAAACGGATATCACAAATTGGGTATTTGTTCACATATGATAGTATCACAATTTCTTGACGTTCAATCAAATAGACCATTGTAGCAACATTCTCAAATCACTCAAAATTGATTGCCTTATATGAGGCAAATAGGAAATGTGTATGGTTAAGATCTTTGATCTAACATGTTCAAGAAACATGTGGTCTTAAAGTAATTATAGGAAATTCGACCTTATTATATAAGGACAATATTGCATGTATTGCACAAATAAAAGATGGATTCATCATAGGAGATAGAACCAAATATATTTCTCCAATGTTTTTCTTTACACATGAACTTGAAAATGCTAGTGAAATAGATGTTCAACAAATTAGTTTAAATGAAAATCTTACAATTTTTTTCACAAAATCACTACCTACCAAAGTTTTTAAACAACTTATAAACAAGATAAGCATGCAACACCTTAAAGAGCTTTATTGAAGTGAGGGGGAGTATTATATGTACTATACTCTTTTTTCCTTCGTTTTGGTTTTTATCCAATTGGGTTTTTCGTAATAAGGTTTTTAATGAGATAATTTAAAAACATATAACACAAAAAGGGTAAGCATCTAAAGGGGAGTATTGTGAAATTTTCTTATTGGTAGATGCTTCACCTTCATAATCACCTTCTTCCCTGTTGTAACTTCTCACCATTAATAAGTAATTTGTGATTCTACTAAAAGCCATTTAAAGGTTCATTAAAGTGTCATTTATGACTCTACTAAAGTGCTATTCATTATTTTATTTAGACCTATTCAATGATTAACATAACCTTTACGTATCTCTTATCTTATATATATTTACAAATTTGTATAATTTGTACACAAAAAAATATACGATGAAATAAAAAATTCTCACTTCTGTTTATTATCTTATTATTTTATAATATATTACATAATAGTTAAAATTAATTTATAAAGTATTGTTTTCAAAGTCCAAAACAAAATATTAAAAAAAAAAAAAAGAGAAATAAAAATTGATAAGATCAACTACATTAAATACACTATATTTATTGTACCTAATTTTTCGAGTCCCTATAAAGCTAGCAACAATTATTATGATTTTTTTTACCAACAATTAGCTCTGCAGCTCAATTAAGTTGTTTGAAAGGTAGTTGAAGCCTCTCATGTTTGCAAGACAGCAGCATCTAGCCATCAGCCTATATATATATAAATTGCAGCATTTGCATCATCCAGTTTCCTTCTCAAGAGAGACTTGCAGCATTAACTGCTCCTGCATCATTTTTCTCTGAAACAACAAACAACATATATACGTACCGGCGTTTTATTGGCAAACATGACTGATGCCACGGCCTCCGCAACCGCCAAGGGCCGCGTCCTCGTTGTAGGAGCAACAGGCTTCATCGGTCAGTTTGTGACCGAAGCCAGCCTTAACTCCGGCCATCCCACTTATATTCTTGTCCGCCCAAGCAGCGCAACCGCCAACCCCTCTAAGACCAAAATCATCAAAACCTTTCAAGCCAAAGGCGCCATAGTCTTACATGTTAAACCCTCTCTCTCCCTCCTTTCTCCTCTCCTCCACTAGTAGTGACCTCTCTCTTTCTCTGTTTTTTATTTTTATTTTTATCCTTGACTTTTTGAAATTTTATAGCATATTCCTCCATCTCCAATGATGTGAATCTTGGAAAATTTTCTTACAAACCAAACAAATTACTTTTTCTTCGAATGGAGCTCGCTGCTTTGAAAAATAGTCAATATAAACAGTTGTGATAGCTAGTGCTTCATTTTGCTGCCGGTTTTACAATTCACATAATTAAATTTACATTTATTTGCAGGGAGTGATAAACGAGAACGAATTAATGGAGAAATTGTTGAAAGAACACGAGATAGAGACGGTGATATCAGCGGTGGGTGGGGAAAAGATCTTGGATCAACTCTCTTTAATTCATGCCATTAATGCTGTCGGCACCATTAAGGTACATTATTTTCAGATTTTTTTTATTTTTTTAATTTATATCTTAAAAATGCAGGTTAAGAATTTTAAAGGTTAAATGCTCGTTTTGGTCCCTTAACTTTATCCATTTGCACATTTTTGATCCCTAATGAATTTTCTGCACATTTTTGATCCCTCAACTCTACAAAATGCACACCGTTAGTCCTTCTGTCAGTTATCTATGACGTGGCAATTAAAAAATTTCACGTGGCATTTTCTTATAAATTTTTTATGACATGGCAATAACACATCAGAAAAAAAATGCCAACTCATATGCCAACTCATATACTAAATTAAATTAACACTTTATTTTTAATAAAAAATAAAAAACTAAAAATTTACCTTAATACCCTTATCTCCCTTTCTTCATCCATCGTCTCCTCTTCTTCCCCTCTTTCAATCATTCTTCTTCCTTTCTTTTT